GTCCCCGGACGGGAGGAGTAGTGGGCCGCTTGCGGTGTTGGCAAAATGCGCACGAGGCAATATATTTAGCTACTGTCGTGGAAAGACCTGGCCAGAAAAATCAACTGCGGATGCGCTTGTATGTTTTGTAGTAACCCAAGTGTCCTGACGTCAGGTCGTCGTGGGAAGCGCGCAGAACTTCAGTGCGTAGTGCGCGTGGTACGACGGGAACCCATCGGTGGCCTTCCGGGTGCAAAATGTATCGATATAGCACATCGTCCTCCAACTTGAATAGTCGGAGTTGTTTCCGGAGCCTGGCATTAGGGAAGACGAAGCACCGGTAAGCCGACCAATGATGTCAGTGCAATAAGAATCGGCTGGCTGGTGAGTAGCAAGTGCTGACGGACAACAGCCAAGCACTCTTGTTCGGTTATCGAGTACCTCTTCTCTGCAGTGTTCAGAGTGCGGCTTGCATACGCGACAACTTTCTCGCGAAAGGCATGGTCGCGCTGGAGCAGTACGGCGCCGATTCCTTGTCCACTCGCGTCAGTGTGTAATATCGTAGGTGCCTTGTCATCGAAATAACAAAGCACCGGTGGGGATGTCAGTGCCTACTTGAGTTCTTGGAATGAGGCTTCGCATTGATCATTCCAATCGGAGGAACCGGTACTAGCAAGGAGCTTGTGGAGAGGAGCGACAATAGTGGCAAAGTTGCGAATGAAGCGGCGAAAGTACGATGCGAGTCCAAGAAAACTGCGTAGTTCTTTGGAGCGAAAGGGTCGCGGAAAGTTGAGGACTGCGGAAATTTTGTCCGGATCGGGCTGGATGCCATCTTTAGTAACGAGATGTCCTAGTACTTTTATAGCTGTGTTGCCAAAATGGCACTTCCTTGTGTTTAGTTGAAGTCCAGCGTTGGAGAGACATGTAAGCACTTGATCTAGGCGTTGCAGATGATCATCAAAAGTGGAAGAAAACACGACGATATCATCGAGGTAGCATAGACAAGTTTTCCACTTGAGGCCACGAAGAACAGTGTCGATCATCCTTTCAAATGTGGCGGGAGCATTACATAGACCGAATGGCATTACGTTAAACTCGTAAAGACCGTCCGGCGTAGAAAAGGCAGTCTTTTCTTTGTCTGCTTCGTCCATTGGTATTTGCCAATACCCGGACCAAAGGTCAAGGGTGGAGAAGTATTGGGCGCCTTGCAATGAGTCAAGTGCATCATCTATACGGGGCATCGGATATACATCCTTTCGGGTAATCTTGTTGAGCGCGCGGTAATCAACACAAAATCGTACCGATCCATCCTTCTTTTGTACCAACACAACGGGTGATGACCAAGAACTGGTAGAGGGTCGTATGATGTTTCTGTTTAGCATATCGGTCACGTTCTCCTCGATGATTTTGCGCTCGGCCAAGGAGACTCGGTAGGGACGACGGCGTACAACAGTCTGACCTTCAGTGTCGATGCGATGATGCGCAACTGTGGTCTGTCCTAGTGCCGAAGCATTGGCGTCGAAGGAGGCCTGGTGTTTCCTGAGCAAATTCAGCAACGCCTCACGCTGAGAAGCAGAAAGGTCAGGATTTATCCCGGGAGCAAAGGAGGAGGACGTAACAGACTGGGCCTGTTGTGGCTGAGCTGTCAAGGCGTCAAGAGAGACCAAAGAAACCGGTTGGGTATCCACATAACATGACACTGCAGAACCTTGGGGTAGGAGGACGGGCTCTGGGGTAGGGTTCAGGCCAATGATTATCGCTGCACTGTCTTTGAACCGCACCAGGCTGGAGGGGACTACAACGCCGCGAGCTAGACAGCTGCTGGAAGGGGTGATGATGACGTCACCATTGGCAATATTCGGAGAAGTGATGGTGATGAGTTGCTCTTGACCCGGGAGTAGTATGGATTCGGAAGCTGTGAAAAAACGCAATGGTCTTTCGTCGACGCGTTCGCTGCAGTGATCGGTCTCGGTCATTTCGACTACACGTTGACGGCAAGAAATTAATGCAGATGCTGATGAGAGAAAGTCCCAGCCTAAAATTAGTTCATGAGCACATGAAATTAAGACAGCGAAGGTGATGTGATGAAGAATACCATCAATGAAGACACGAGCTGTACATTGGGCCGATGGTCTAATTATTGCTCCATTGGCCCCAATCAAAGATGATCCAAGGTAGGGTGTCTTCACTTTCCGCAATCGAGAACACAAGTCGGCACGCATAACTGAAATAGTTGCTCCCGTGTCCACCAAAGCCAACACCCGCACACCTTCCACAGTTACCAATAACATGTTTGACGGTCGTTCAGGAGGACTTGGGTCAATTCGCCGCGATGCAGTTTTCCCTCCAAAAACTGCACTGTTTAGTTTTCCGATCGCTGGGCAGCCAGTTGAGAGACAGGCCGAAGTGGTGAAACAGAGCGTCGGAGTGGCGAAGGGGAGCGTGGTCGGGATGCACGTGTATTGTTGGTCGTGTTGGAAATGCGCACAGGAGACGGTGATCGGTGGTTGGAAGGACTGTCGGCATAACGGTAGTAACCTCGAGCATATGTGTCGTCTCGTTCAAAAGCGGCATAACCACGACGTTCATCTTGCTGCCGACGTCGACAGACCCGGGAAATGTGTCCTCGAATTCCACAGTAGTAGCAAATAGGACGTGGGGCCCGCCAGGAAGAATGGTAGGTAGGGTTCGGTGGACGGGCGACTAGAGGTGCGAGATGTTCGTGATCAGGTACAGGTGGTGGTGCTTGAGACGGCGAGGGTTGCATTGCAGCGATCTGTGCATACGAAGGGGTTTGGGCGCATGGTGGAGCACGGTGAATGCTTTGGAACGCTGACATTTCTTCCCTAATAATTCCACGCAGATCGCTAGAGGCGGGTTGAGCGGGAACGTTGTTAGAAGGAGGTAAAGTGTATGCTTGCAATTCCTCACGAATTATGTCTCGAATGATGGATCGGAGCTCCATACTGTTTGCCAGGGGGTTCTCAGAGAAGTCGGGTCGTAGGCGGATTGACTGCAAGGTATCAAGCCGCTGGCATACCGAGACGACGTCGGAAACCGTCGAAGGGTTGTGTGCGACGAGGGCGTTGAAAGCGGTAGGTCCGATACCCTTCAGAAGGTGCCGGACACGATCACCTTCTGGCATAGTGTCGTCGATACGGCGGCAAAGTGCAAGCACATCCTCAATATAGGAAGTGTAGGACTCACCGCAATGTTGAACGCGTTCTGCCAGTTTCTTGCGAGCAACTTCTGAACGGACGGTCGGTGTACCGAAAATGCGTCGGAGCTGGTCTTTGAAGGAAGACCAATCGCGGAAGTCGCTCTCATGGTTCAGGAACCACGTCTTGGCAACCTGAGAGACGTAGAACTGGACGCGTGCTAATTTCGATGCCTCGTTCCAGTTGTTGTAGACACCTACGCGGTCATAGTTGTCGAGCCAGTCTTCGACATCTTCGCCAGACAGACCGGAGAAGATTGGAGGCTCCCGAGGGGGGTTGTTGACCGGGCTAGGGTTGGCGGCTGGTGGTTGCGCCGGCGAGTGGTTCGGTTGGGCTTGCTCTTGGGCCATGGTGCTCTGCTGGCGCAAGCGACGTCCCGAACGGAGCTCCAGGAGCTGGCTTTGGATGGAGAGAGGTCGAAGAGATCGGGAAGCACCTTCCACCACTTGAAATACACCGGTGCAGCTGACGCTTTATTGAAGCAACAGCAAAATGGCGCCGATCATGAAGAGGAACGGGCCGAAGACTGATGATGGTTATTGATAGATGAGGAAGATGACGTACAATGAATTCCCACAATATATATATATATATATATATATATATATATATATATATATATATATATATATATATATATATATATATATATATATATATATATATATATATGTATATATATATATATATATTATATATATATACAGAGAGAGAGGGGGGGAGAGAGGGAGGGAGGGGAGAGAAGAGATACGTATACATATACGGTGAGTGACGCTGATGTCGACGCCGACAACAAAACCAGCCGAAAGTTTCCATATAACAACTATCACAGCAAAAATACAGCACATGTCGCAAACCACGCTTGTGAATATCCCTAACAATGTTCTATACTCGTGCCGTGGTAACCCCGCACGCTTATCTGAAACATTGGTGCCATGTACGCTATGGTAAACGGTACAGTAGGAACTCTAGGAACGGAAATGGCAGCGTGCCCTTGCTACGCACATCCTCCGGTTTCACAGTGCTGGATCTTACACACACTAATTAGTGGCAGCACTGCCTATCAAAACGCATATGCATCATTTTTACTAAACTAAATAATAATAATGATTGGGGTTTAACGTTCAAAGAGCACCCTATGATTATGAAAGACGCCGTAGTGGAGGGTTTCTGAAATTTCAACCAACTGGGGTTCTTTGTCGTCCACCTAAATATAAACGCACGGGCATCAAACATTTCTCGCCGCCATCGGGATATGCTGCTGCCGCGCCTTGTGATTCGAACCAACGACTTATGGGCCAGCAACCGAATGCTTTATCAAGTTTTACGAAACTGTCTAACTTCAACATTTTTATCTCAGTGGCCTCCACAAACTGTGCATTCAATTTTACTCACCAAAGCGTAACTTCCTAACAGTAATTCAACTTCATGACGTGGGCTAGTCTGACGTTGCGTAATTTGAAGTCTCGGGCGGCTTGATTATGTTGATTTGAGTAACTACTTTATGATCATTTAGTAGTCTACGTTTTATATGCGACGGCTCAAAAATGTGTACATAGTCAGGGGCCCGCTTCGGGCAGGGAAACTAACGCAACCTAATGGACCTAAATAGAGCTTTGCTATCCATCTAAAACTGCGTGGCATACAGAGAACAAAGAACACTATCGACAAATGCTGAATCGTATGCATTACCTAGTGACATCGTTTCCGCCAAGTGTTTCATGTCCGCCGCCCCCCACAGGTTCGTTTCATTTAAACTCTCAGCAGCTGTTTTTTCGCTGGCCTCAAGGTTGCCGGTATTCGCCGCAGTGTCATGCAGTTGAGTGAAACGCCCATTCCGACACTGGCCGCTCAGAAGCTGTGGGGATACCTGCTGTACAGGTAAGCGAAAACCATGCGCTAATTTTCTAGTTCTTAAACTTCCCCACTGCATCACGAAACAATCAAGCACTCTAAACACGACGTGATGATCCTGCCCTAGTTGGTAATGGCCAAATGGTTCGGATTCTCGTATTTTAAATTGGACAGTCCCAATAGAAACACTCACAGCTGCACCAGGTAATAGGGGAAGCTAGGTAATTTGACAATCGGACGCAGCAGCATCACAGGAGATTTTGCCAGAAAATAAAATACACTGGCACAGACGTTCACTCCTGTCGTCTATTTGTCATGTACAGGGCACTGTGTGAAGAACCGCTTGGCATTTTTTAGGTCGTCGTACAGTTAAACATACTTCTCGGTACTGTCGGGCATTCCGGAAGTGACAAGGGAAGGCATTTACTGGCCATGAACGCCCCACTTTATCCTGGAAGCCTCTATGAATGAAGGCTTCAAGAATATTTACTCTCGTGAATACCTGCTCTCTCAGATGTGCATTTTCGGTCGCCACTCATTGGCGGGATTCAATGCATTGTTTGCTGGGAGGAAGGCTGTTTTCAGGCTGGAATATAGAGCTTGCAGTTTCTCTTTGTGGTGAATTTCTTGAGGTGAACTCGTGGTGTGCGTATATGCCAGGTAACCAAGTGAGCGTGCTATACAGGCTTCACTCCTGGTGTGATAATATCGTGATATACAGCGTGTCATGGAGTGCTACAGTAACACTTCAAGCTGTCACCTCCGAAGCCCCCCTCTCTCTCACCCCCACTTGTGAGCATGCTCATACCTCCACTTTGATCCACAATGACTTGAAAGCTTCACTGACGCAACAGCTGCTTGCCACGTGAAAAAAGAAAGTAAAAGAAGCACGCATGGACTCCTGATGCTTACTTTTCAACGTTAGACTGAATTACCTTAATTTAGACAGTCGGAACATCAATTAAGCCCCGCCACTCCTGCTGCGTGGCTTTTACATAAAACGCAGGGCATTCTCAGCGCTGCACAAATGTGTTTTACAGGCAACGTTGAAGCCGTGCTCAACGTCTTCTCCTGGAGGCTCAAATTCACATTTGAATTGCCAAAAGACAATGACATCCAGTTCTTAGACATTCACCTTTTTTTTCTGATAATGTCCATACTTGCTGGTGCTATCAACCCAGGAATGCTAAGAATGTTTTGCCTTTTGTTACTGGGCATTCAGAATTAGTAAAAAGAAGAATCGCCACGACGTGTATTCAGGTCACCCTTCAGAAGTCATGTGAGCACAAGGGTAAGGTCAGCCTTAAAAACCAGATTAAAAGACTAAAAGATGCTGGGTACCCCAACAGCATCATCACACCCGTTTGCGAAACCCTCCGGCAAAAAGTTAGGATAAAAAACATGACCAAGAGAAAAATGGAATGACCAAAGACATTTGCTTGTTGTACCGTACGTACATAAGGTGTCTCACAATTTAAAGGAAATAGCGAGCAGATATGAAAGTAACTTGTTGTTTTCCACCCCTTGCAAGCTTTCAAAAGTGTGTGTACTCAACAGCAACAGGAATAGTCAATCTTGCACCATCCATCACGAGAATAGGCTTACTAAATGAATAGGTTTACTGAATGCCACAAGTAAACATAGGAGAAATGGGGCAATGCTTCAATGATTGAGCAAGACAGCATGCGTTAAATGTTAGGAATGGCTATGGTAGTCTCATGGCCGTACACTGTAAATAACCTAAGTGCAGTCCTACGTTTCATAAAAAACCGGTTTTTGAAAAAAAAAAAGCAAGAACAACTAATGAAAGAAGATTTTAGAATCATTTTTTTTATCAGGAAGGCCAAGGATCAATACATCAGTAGACCTTCACTTTCCGAAAGAGAGTATCCTTTTCTCAGTTAAGATTATATTATCATGGTCACACATTGTTCATCACGCATGAACACTGTGTTCATTCTACTCTGTATAAAAGCGGTCGTAGCAACTTCAATAAAATTAAGCAGACAGTCAGCGCTCTTTCCAGTCAATTTTGTCTCTTCCTAAAGTTGTCGCGCTGTTACTAGAACACAACCACGATGAACCAACTTGCCCAAATTAAGCTCTTGTTGATTATTTATGACAGGCCCCAACGTGTCGCATTCTTCCAATGTGGGTACGAGGTGCTCATTTTGTCATCTATTCACATACCTCGTCTCTGCGACAAACTCCAGCTTCGCTCCATCCCACCTCACATAGTTATGGAGCAGACTTCACCCGTCATTTATTCTATGACACTATTTTTCGTCCCAACAGACCATCGTTACCGCAGCATCCAGCTTGTGCACCTTGCTGGCATGAAGCCCTGCATGCGACGTTCCTCGTCACTGACGTGTAGTGGCCAAAATGACAGCTTCTTGCGAACGAAAACAGTTTGAACGTTGATTGTGCGCTTCTCTTTCATCTGTGCAGTACTCAAATGATCATGATTGATTCGTCTATCCGTCCTCTTTATCGCCGAGTGTCATCACCATCGTGTGTGCGCGCGCTTTGCCTACCCGGTTGTTGGCCAATCTTTCAGTGCGGGTGTGTGCCATTCTTGGATTCAAGACTCCAATCTCGCCTACTCTAGCTGCCCGTTCACAGCTGCAGGCCTTGTGAACATTGCTTGAACGGAAGAGGTTATATATTGAAGTAAATGTGAGCAATTCATAACCATTTTACGCCAAATGGTTCAAATTGCTGTATTGATTCTCATAGTACCTTACGTAAGTCCCTGTCTAACATTATAGAGCTTGGTGCCCGCAGCACTACAATCTCGCTCAGATGCTTTCACAATGAGCTCAAATATATGACTATGCCACAGGAGTTGTTTAAACCTCTGGATTTTATTGGGTCAAAACTGGCATTGTTCAGTCAGGCTTGATGTCTTTCGGAACTACTCTTCCTCTAAGATCTTACTTAGCCTAAGGGGAACACTGGCATTGATCAGTCAGGCTTTATGTATTTTGGTACTCCTCTTTGTCTAAGCTCTTACTTAGTCTAAAGGAAACAAGCAATATTTTGTACCGCTGCAAACTACTGGATTCTTTTACGGTAGATGGATCTGGTGCTGGGCCTGTTGGTGCATAGTTTAAAACAACGATAACATCCAGCCTTGAAGGGCGTTCACGCAAGGTGAACGAATTGAACGAACACATGCTGGGACTGGCAACAAAGTTTCACGAAACAGCAGTTTTCTTTATTAAGCCAAGATGACATTGATTCTGCGACATATTTCTTTTTAGAGTTTAACAGTGCAATTTGTTACTCATTGGTTCAAAATAAGAAAGTCAAAGTGCTTAGGTCATGTCGATGATATTTTCCTTTGATTGAGCCGAAATAACCCAGCGAACCTAGACCATGTTACATCTTTACTGATTCTAATAATGTAGAAACTCTTTAAGGTACTTTTATTGCATGAAGGTATTGCAATAAAGTCTTAATAGTTCAAACAAACACTTCTCAAACCGGTCACGTTTGCTAGATAGACGCACCCCAAATAAAAAAAACACCTTCTTTCGATAGAGCCGTCGCACTCAAAAATAGTGAGGTGCGGAATTGTGGACCGGTGTATTAGAAACGTCTTCAAGAAAAGCTGCCAACGTTTCACTAAGCAAACCTTTAATGAGCAGATGAAGCGTCCAATGGCAGCTGACTTCCCTGACAATGCTCTAAATGTGTGAGCCGCAACAAAATTGAAGAAGTTGATGAAAAAAAAACAGATGGCATGTCACACACCCGGGAAAATTATGACCATAGGCGAGTGGAACTCGTTCCATGTATACGGGAGGTTTCCCAAAATATGGAAATAGTTATCACAAGACATGGCACATGAGTCGAGTTGCCAGCGCCTTGCTAGTTGTCAAACTTTTGCGCATGGACTGAAAACCGGAAATCTCGAAGCATGTCTATCACACGGTATGCCACCAAATTCCTCGGTTGCATCTCAAGTATTGTATATTGCGTGCCGTTGTCTTGTGGTAGAGTTCACATGGTATCGATGGGGCGTTGTGATAACATCAAAGAAAATGCACGAAGAACGTGGACTAAAGTAAAAAAAAACAGCACAAGCGCATGCTATGAACTAAAACTTTTACTGAAATCATGAAAATATAATCCTCAACAGCAGGACTATGCACCCCCCCACCCCAGGGGAAAGGCCACTCTCCTAATCCGCCAATCAAACCGGTCTTGTGCTTTCTACATCCACGTTATACCTGCTAACTTCTTATTCTCATCTGCCCACATATTTTTTGTCTCTTTCTCACGCGTTCGCCTTCTCTTGAAATGCAGTCAGTTACCATTAGGAACCAGCAGTCATTCTGTGTGGGCAAATGTGGGCGCAGGCTAGTCAGACGGGCACAGGCAAACACCCATAAACGAAGAGGCACCACTTTATATACATATCGCCACAGACACGGGGCTACTCTACACGACATATACACATGCACACACATGTAACTAACATGAACACGTTCCACACTGACACCACTGCAATTAATCTCAGTGCTTCAGTCGTGGAGTTGTCGAAGAGCGAAGCACCGAGCTCTCGTCCGGCGTATCCCGAACAAGGGGCGGGTTGCAATGGTGCACGCAGCTAAGTCGGACGGTGCATGCCATGTGGTCGAGATCTCAAAGGACCGGAAGAGGGCCTCGAGGACTCGGTGCCCGGACGTGGGTAAGTTGCCTTCCTCTGGCTCAGGACCGGTGCATGGACCCGACTTCAGCTGATAAAGGCCAAGGAGAAACCCAATGCAGCAGTGTCAGCGCCTAGTACAGCACCGGGGACGTCAACAGGAACAGTGCCACGAAGGGTGGCTTGAACGGTACCAGATGATGATATGTGAGGTTTAACGTCCCAAAACCACCATATGATTATGAGAGACGCCGTAGTGGACGACTCCGGAAATTTTGATCACTTGGAGTTCTTTAACGTGCACCCAAATCTGAGCATACGGGCCTACAGCGTTTTCGCCTTTATCGAAAATGCAGCCGCCGCAGCGGGG